CTAGCTACGAACCCCTACTACCTTGGGAAACCGGAGGGCTTCCACCGCCAGAACCCTGTATGGCCAAGAAAGAAGGACCTTCCCCGACAGCACCCAAGTCTATAGGAGCATCCAACCAGTCAAACCCCATAAAAGGATCCGGCACGAGGGGCGTTGGCGAAGCAGGTGCGGGAGTAGCTGCGCGCTTCTTACGCTCCTTACGCTCCAAGTCCGAGATGTCCCGGAGTTCCCGGGACACCGCTTTCCTTACCCTCTCCTCTAAAGCACGCTTCTGCTTGCGGAGACAAAGCAGCTTCGCTAAAATCTCCTCCTCCTTACGCTCAAGCTTGTCCTTCTCAGAAATAAAGGAGCAAACTAAGCACTGTCAGTACTAACGGCAGGCAGCGGCAAAAACCAACTTATACGTCCCCGGATCGATGCCCTAGACATTGTAGGACGGGCGGTTCATACAGTTATAGGAACTACAACGTTTGGAGGTGCCAGACACCTGACAATCGAGCCTATGCTTATAGCAGTAGGAACACTTGGGCATTAGGAATCCGGAAGATGCAGCAAAATCGGCGAGACAAGACTAGCGCTGAGTACTCGACCCGGCTTGAGTTTTTCGCTTTCGTATACGGTCAGCCATGACTGGCGAGGATAGGAGGATACAGAAGGAAAAACACTTATAGCTAAGGACTATTGGCGCTATTTCAGAATGCAGGAAGAACAAGGTCGCCAAGGTATCGACCTCGGAGAGGGGGCATCGTGTTACGAATTAAGCCAACAGGACAGCTGCAGGTAGGACAACCCGACGGGTGGCGTAGGGCGCACCCGAACCAATCATTTAGGACTAATAAGAAGGAGCTCTAAGGTGCTCTAGAGAGCAGACGAGAGCTTCAGGAGCTAAGCCAATCAACGTAAGGAAATAGAAGCTCTCGATAGAGTCAACAGAGCACCGAGCTCTAGGGAGCTCTATAGAGCATATAAGAGCACCCAAAGATGGCCAGTATATAGTCACTCGTTCTGGAGGACTCTGGGAGTTCTCCAGTGAGCAATATTACAAGCATAGCCTATACCTATTGTGCAGACATTGCGGCAAGCATTGTTGTGAACCTTTTGGCTTCACCGAGACCTACAGTCCGACCAGCAGTTACCTTCGACCGGCGAACCCTTTCAGAGGCAGGACTGCCTGTGGTTTCGTCACACACAACAACATTATGAACCTACTATAATTACATCAGAAACGGCTGAATCAGATGCTTCTGCAACCTCCTGACAAGTGCGGGCATTATGACCAGGCTTGCCGCACACACTACAGCACCGAACCTTCGTATGAGCCCCCCCTGCACCACCACCATCCGCCTGCATTTCTTATGCCACCTCCCCAACTATAGCCTTTTGGCCTAGTAGATCCTTTGCATCTTCTACTGCAAGTGATCCTCCAAGCTGTACACGCGTTCTTTTGGCTCTTCGGCGCTTGCTTAGCGCCTCGTTGGCCTTGCAGAGCGAAGACACCTCTGCCTAAAGGAGGGCCACCTGGTGCATTATAGCTATCGTACCCTTAGTAAGCTGGTCCATAGCAGCCAATATCGAAGTCGGGGAGCTATTTTGATAGTTGGCAATACGAGTCTTAATGAGCGTTAACTATGAGTTGGCTTCTCGGGGGTTATATAGTGTCTGGAAGACCTAAGATTATATAGTGCCTGGCCGTAAGGTTGGGGGTATTGGTATACGAAGCTTAATATCTAGCTTCGAAAGTACCCTCTCTGGATTGTACAGTATAAGGCCAGCCCCAAAAAACCGCCCTGTATATTCCTCTTGGTAATAGAGGCAAAGAAGGCTATGCGAAAGGTACAAAGGAACTCGAGCTTGCTTATGTAACGTACGTTATAAGCGAGTGAAACATATAAGCGAATGAAACACTCCCCACCACATCGCATACCCTTTGCACCTTACCTTCAATCCCTCTATAACGAACCATGGCTTTACCTTCTAATGAGGCAAGGATTGTCCTTGCACTTAAAGCTCTTCAAAAGGACCATACTCTTAGTCTTCGGGCTGCAGAAAAGGTCTATAACGTCAGCCCTGCAACACTTATGCGACGACGCGACGGCAGGCCTGCACGACGCGACACTACGCCTAAATCGCGCCGGCTTACAGATTCAGAAGAGCGGGCTATTGTTCAATATATTATTGAACTATCTTTACGAGCCTTTCCACCAAGGTTGCGTGGTGTGGAAGATATGGCCAACCAACTACTACGCATACGCGACGCGCCCCCTGTCGGCAAGCTCTGGGCATATAACTTTGTCAAACGCTAGCCAGAGCTTCGTACGCGTTATACGCGTCGATATGACTACCAGAGAGCTAAGTACGAGGATCCAAAGGTCATTAGCGATTGGTTCGCTCTCGTATAGAACGTCAAGGCCAAGTACGGTATCGTAGAGGACGATATCTATAACTTCGACGAGACCGGGTTTATGATGGGTATTATCTGCGCGGGTATGGTGGTTACAACCTCAGATGGCCGTAGCAAGGCAAAGCTGGCCCAGCCTAGCAACCGCGAGTGGGCAATAGTGATATAAGGCGTCAATGCCCTTGGCTAGGCTATCCCACCCTTTATTATCTTGGCCGTGCAATACCACCTCGCCAACTGGTATCAAGAGTGCAACCTCCCAGCCGACTGGCGTATTGCAACCACCGACAACGGCTGGACAACTAATATAATAGGCCTCGATTGGATCAAGTACTTCGACTTGCATATAGCACCTCGTACAAAGGGCAAATACCGGTTATTGATCCTCGACGGCTACAAGAGCTACTACTCGACCGAATTCGAGCTCTACTGCCAGGAGCATAAGATCCTCACGCTCTATATGCCTCCGTATTCCTCCCACCTACTCCAGCCACTTGATGTTGGTTGCTTTAGGCCGTTAAAGCACGCGTATGGTCGCCAGATCGAAGACTTGATACGCGCGTATATCAACCACGTGAGCAAGGTCGAGTTCCTCTGTAGGTTCCGCGAGGCCTTCTTCTCCTCCATTACCGAGAGGAATATCTAGGGTGGCTTTGCTGGAGCTGGCCTTGTGCCATATGATCTAGAGAGGGTGCTTTCTAAGCTGGATATCAAGCTTCGTACGCCAACACCCCCAACCTCACGGCCTAGCACTATACAACCTTGGGTCTTCCAGACACTATACAACCCCCGAGAAGCCAACTCGCAATCAACGCTTATCAAGACTCGTATTGCCAACCATCAAAACAGCTCCCTGACTTCGATGTTGACTGCTGTGGACCAGCTTGCCAAGAGTACAACGGCCGTAATGCACCAGGTAGCTCTCCTTCGTGCAGAGAACGCCTCCCTCTGTAAGGCCAACGAGGCACTAAGTAAGCGCCGGAGAGCCAAAAGAACACGTGTACAGCTTGGAGGATCGCTTGCGGTACAAGACGCAAAGAATCTACTGGACCAGAAGGCCGTGATTGGGGAGGTGGCGGAAGAAAAGGAGCAGGATAGTGGTGGTGTAGGGGGGAGTTGTACGAAGGTTCGGTGCTATGGTATATGCGGCAAGCCTGGCCATAACGCCCGCACTTGCCAGGAGGCTGCAGAATCATCTGATTCAGCTATTTTTGATGTAATCATAGTTGGTTGATAGTGGTAGGTGGTTAAAGCTGGAGATAAGTATTGTGGTATAGGTGGGGGTGTTTCACTCGCTTATATGTTTCACTCGCTTATAACGTACGTTAGCTGATATACACGCGTATCAAGTCCTCGATCTGGTGACCATACACCTGCTTTAACGGCCTAAAGCAGCTAACATCAAGTGGCTGGAGGAGGTAGGAGGAATGTAGAGGCATATAGAGCGTGATAATATTGTTCTGCTGGCAGTAGAGCTTGAACTCGGTTGAGTGGTGGCTTTTGTAGCCATCGAGGATCAACAACTGGTATTTGCCCTTTATCCGAGGCGCTATATAATAGTCAAAGTGCTTGATCCAATCAAGGCCTACTACATTGGTAGTCCAGCCATTGTTGGTAGTTATAATGTGCCAGTCGGCTGGGAGATTGTACTCGGTATATCAGTTGGCGAGGTAGTATTGCGCCGCTAAGATAATGAACAGATGGATAGCCCAGCCAAGGGCATTGACGCCTTAGATTACGGTCACCTATTCGCGGTTGCTAGGCTAGGCTAGCTTCGCCTTGCTACGGCCATCCGAGGTTATAACCACTATGCCTGGGAAGATAATGCCTATTATAAACCTAGTCTTATCGAAGTTATAGATATTATTATCTATAATACTATACTTGGCCTTAATATTCCATATAAGGGTAAACTATTCGCTAATAACCTTTGGATCCTTATATTTAGCCCTCTAGTAGTCGTATCTACATATATAACATATCCGGAGCTCTGGCTGGCGTTTGACGAAGTTATACGCTCAGAGCTTACCGATAGGGGGCGTATTGCGTACGCATAGCAGTTAGTTGGCTATATCTTGCATACCACGTAGTCTCGGGGGAAAGGCTCGCTCAGATAGCTCAATTATATACTGAATAAGAGCCTTCTCTTCGGAGTCGGTAAGCCGGCGCGAGTTGGGCGTAGTGTCGCGTCGTATAGGCTTGCCGTCGCGTCGGTTTCGGATGGTATTGACTGTGACGTTATAAATCTTTGCTGCGGCGCGAAGACTAAGTTTTGGGTTCTTTTGAATAGCTTCAAGGGCTAAGATTACCCTAGACTCTCTTGAAGCCGAAGACATCGTTGGGTGTAGAGGATTTTGGTTGTGGTATGAAGAGAAGACGCGTCGCGGTCAAAGTGTTCAATTCGCTTATATGTTCATCTCGCTTATAAGATACGTTAAAAAGAATGGAAAAGAATTCTGGACGAACCGGGGTTTGAGCCCGGGGCCGTCTGTAACGCATGTGCAAATGCGGCATTGCAAAACAGAAATCATACCACTAGACCATTCGCCCATCCGATGATCAAATCTGGCATTGCCATATTCGCTTCCTATACACGCTTTGGCGGGGCCTCAACTCACCCCGGCTTATGTCGTCTAGGCGGCAATGTCATCCAGACACTTCTGCATGTCTAATTCCTACTTTCAGCTCCAATAATCCTGTCGAGAAAAAGCAGCATCAGCACATCTTTGATCTCAAAACCGATGACGCACTCTATTCGATGGTCACAGGGGTTGGCGCCTGTTGGGCAGTCGCATCCCGCCACGCGCTAAGGAGCGCTGCCCAACCAACGTCACAAGATCATCAACGGGCCGGCTTCTCAGTTTTCCCTACTGACTTCCAAAGTGAAGACAATACGAAATCCAGAAGTCAACCGTAATCAAATATCCGCTGCATTCTCTCCGTTCAATAGTCACGCCCACACAACGCGACAGCCTTTCAAGATGCTCGCACACAGTCCCAGCCCCGCCCCTTTACCGCCTCACCACGGATCTGACTGCCACAACGATACCCCGGACCTGTTCCATGGCCTCTACTCCTCCCTCGCCAACCTCACCCTAACCACCAAGGAACCGAGAACCGCCTCGGAGTCCGAGCCAGCATCAACATCATCATCACCAACTACAACAGCAGTCGCCAAACACTAACATCTCTACCGTGACAGGGGTGCGACCTCTACATTTGGCCGCAATGTATGGATTGGCATCTATGGTGAGCGAGCTACTTGCTCATGGAGCAGAGATAGACGCAGAGGACCGTCATGGGTTGACGCCCTTACTGGTTGCCGTGCAACGTGGAAACCTTGAGGCGGTTCAGACGTTCGTGAGCAGGGGCGCAAAAACAGATATCACAGATGATCAGGGTCATTCACTGTTGGATATCGCAAGGATTCTCGGGCACACCAATACCTATCTCTGGCTGGAACGGCAGATGACCAGCTAGATCCAAACTACGATCTGTTCCCTCAAACGCTGGGATGGGAGATAGTCGATGTATGTACGGCTGCTCGATTAGTAGATTGTAGAGGGCTTATGTATGGATGGCTTAATGCGACTGTGACGGCCGACGCGTGCTGGTCCTCGGGTGGGCATTTCGGATTCTTTTCTGTTAGCAGAGTTCTGATACAAATACGCTGTGCAGCATCTAGTTGCGGCGCTATGACCGTGGCGGACACGAGAGCGGAGAAAGGATGCGCCCTTTGGGAGGGATTAGCGGTGCTGTAATCAGTTATTTAGTTCTGGCCTTTGTTAGGTAACGTATATGATAAGCGAGATGAACAGATAAGCGAGCTGAACACTTTTACTGCGACGCGTCTTCCCTCTACAGTAAACACAGATTCCTCCACAACTAAACATGTCTAGTCTCTGGTGCACAGACTTGATTCTGTGAGCATTGTTAGCCACAAGCGGGGTGGTTGCACCGCTGCAGGCAGCGGTATAGGTCGCATCTGCACAGCCATAAGAACCTTAGGTATGTATTTATAGGTTCCCGCGGAATGCTCATAGAATAAAGCCTATGGCCACTGCGAACATTTTAGGGGAGTTTATCACCCGAGCTATGTTGTTTGTAAATCTCCGCATTCCTCACCACCACCCCCTGACCAGTATACCGCGCCCTCTAATATCCCGTCGTCGCCGGTGGAACTGCCCAGCGGCGAGGCTCCCGCGCCGACGCAGTCGCCTCCGCCTGGGTACCGGGGCAGAGACTCGTGGGCGCCGGGCCAGGAAGGGCAATATCGACCGAGTCAGAAGCCGTAGATACTGTTGGGCTTTCTTAGGTGTATCCTTTCTTGCAGAGTAATATTCTTGGATATGCGGATGGCGTCTATTTGGGGGTTCACAGGGGGATAATATTTGAGGAGACATGCCATCCCTATCACACAATAGGGGTTGCTGATCTGGCGGGGGAGAACTAGCTGTTTGTCACTTCCTTCTATTGATGTATGGCTTTGATGTCTAGGGGAGCTGGTCAGCAGTGTTCTCGACTCTGAGATCGACCCTTCTTCTCGAGTTTCATCGTTTTATAGAACTTATGTTGTTCCTAGCAAGCAAATTCTCGTTGCTGATGTCAAGCTGAGTGCCAGCATACTTAGGTGGACTTGGCACTTGTTGCGAGGGACGCGCTGGGCAACTGAGAGCAACGAACTAATGATATTCTGCGAAAGGAAACAGGGCACAACGGAGACGAAGATGTTGTCGACGTTTATGCTACTGTCCTGCGGAAGATGGAGGATGCCATGTGTGGAAGAGATGTGGGCGGCTGGATCCACCATGTGAGGTGGACCCCACCACGCAGCATGTTCGATGTCTCTCCATCTCGTGGAAAAGTGGGGAAAGCCCCGCATGTGTACTGTAGATACAATCTAAGAGTGGGACTGCCTGAAGTTCTGGGACTAGTGGGCCCACGCAACAGATCGGAAGGGGCGGGGTTGAGGTACCCAGTACCTGGCTGCGACTTAGCGCCCCGTATTTACCAGTACTGTCTCGACACCTGAAAATGGCGGCGCTGCCCAGCCAAATTCGGCGGCCACAACAGCAGATTCTCGATTTAATGTGTAATTATAGTTGGTTGCTAGTGTTGTTGTATTGCCATTGAGGATAGTGTGTCACGGTATGGTAAGAAGTGCGGAGTTCGCTGATATGCGGCGCTCGCTGATAATGTACGTTAATACAAGACATTGTTAATATTCTAATATTAATAATAAAAAGGACTATTCTCCTATTATAAAAAGTGACGCTAAGCAGAACAAGAATAACGATGTCGTCCAGCCGCTAGCAGGGAAGCGCCGCAAGGTAAACACTTCGGCCCCCACAACCCGCAGAACAGCGCCCAAGCGGCGGACATGTCCGTGGTACACCAACTCCCAATTACCATATGCTCAGAGACCACCAACCCAAGACCCAAAGCGCGGCCAAAGTCAGCGCAGCAGTTCCAAACCACAATCTTCAACAGGGCCCGCTTTGGAAGAAGAGACAGTCGAGGCCAGTTTTGCAAGCTTTAAGAAATGGCTACTCAATGCGGTCCTTAAGCGCGTTTGGGTGGATAAGGTAGCAACTTTTTAAGTGGAGTTCACGTAGAACCCTTATACGAATCATGGACGAAATGACCGCACACCCAAAGCAAGCGACGCAAGTCACAGCAGGGAGGACTTCCTCGACGGGGCGTGCCCACCCTTCCAAAATTGCCTCCACTGTCAAGGTTCAAGAAGCCGCTAGGTATTTTGAAATTGAGAAGATCCTGAACTCGCTACAGCGAGAAGGGGGATGGGAGTACCTAGTCAAGTGGGAAGGGTATAGATACAAGCACAATACTTGGGAACCTGCTGCGCATTTCAAAAAAAAAATGTCCCGAGATGCTGCAGCAGTTCCACCAGAGGGCGGGATTGTCCATGGCCCCTTCTATGTGAGTCCGGGCTGAACTCTCATGCGGTTGAGGTGAGTTGCATTGCAGTACTTCCGTTTGGAACAGAGCAGATATTCATATGTGCGTCACGCAACATCGACGACTGGTATTTGACGTAGATACAAACAACTGAACCTGTTGAACGCTGGTCCTCCGGTGCTCCTCCTTTCGTCCAACTCCTCTGAGGACTACGCGCATCCCGAACTTTGATGCTGCATCCAAGACTTCGCATCGTCTTCTACCGTTTCCTCCTCTGGACGTGAAGATGATTGTGGCAAAGAACTTCCAACAATCCTCCTGTTGGAGGTCCAACAGCCACATATCCACTGTATCACGCTAGTTGAGGAGTTTACAGAGGCAGTTTTGCAGCTTGTGGGAGCTGCGTAGAGGGCAACAGTTGATTGAGGTTCTGGATGATCATGTCTGGTTCAAAGAGCTAATGGGCCTCGGCCTGGACCCTGAACAACCTAGCTTGCTAAGCCACTGGTTACCCTTGAAATGCCTCTCCTGACCGCCTTCTAATTCAACACCTCACTTGTTCCACGACAGGAGCTTCAACTGTCTCCTCTGACTTCGACGTCGCGTTGGGGGTTGGGTTGTTGGTCTTTGAGCCTGTGGTGACCGGGAACTGGTGCACTGCAGACGTGTCTGCCGCTTGGGCGCTGTTTTGCGAGTTGCAGTGGTCGAAGTGCTTATCTTGCAGCGCTTGCGCGGTAGCTGGGTGACATCATCCCGGCCTTAATCTATGACGCCGTCTTCAATAAGACTGTGGTCCTCTCCATCATCGGTACCGCGACGTCGATAACGGCGAATATTGTGCTGAAGTTTGGCTTGGCCTTGACTGGCGGATAGCTTCATGGATGGCTGGACGGACGGCTCGGCATCAGCCAGCTCACGGTCGTTGTTACTCTCATCGTCCGACAACATTGGTAAGCCCGCTACACTCTTCTCTGTTTGCAGCGGCACGACAGGACCCTCTCCATCCTGCTCTCCTCTGTCGTCCGGCACCAGAGGATCACGATGCTCCGGGCATGCTGGTCATGGTGCTGAGAGAGGCGGCAGCTACCGGACCTCTGCTGTGTTTCAACCCCACGATCGGAGGCGGCGCTGCATGGACTGTGGGGCCGAGGGCGTGGCTCGTCATCTGCCCGCTCCAGTTCGCTGATGCGCTCATCGTCTAGCAATTATGGTATGCTCGCCTGGCTCTTCTGAACTTGTGGCGGCAAGACTAGACCATCCCTGTTCCGCTCTCCTCTATCGTCTGGAGCCGTCAGATGACGGTGCTCTGGGCCGCTCGTCGGATCGCTATCGCCGTGGTAATCATGGGACGGAGAGCGGCAGCAGCTATCCGACCTCTGACGTGTTTTGTCCCATTGACTGGAGGCGGCCATGTGTGAACTCTGGGCCAGATGGTGAGAGTCTAGGCCGGACTGTAGCAGATTGCATGCTGCAGTGTTGTATGCGCTCTGGTTGGCGAGCCTGGCACGCTTAGCTTGTGAGCGACGCCGCATCGCCTGCCATGAAAATGGATACTGGCTATCCCACTCGTCGTTTGGGAGGCAAGATGGTTTGAGACGATATACGCTGGGCACGGCGGGAATGGCCGCCAAACGCGTACTGGCGGGTGGCCTCGCGATACGTCAAGCTTTGCAATCTCCGCCTGGCTTGAGGATGGCATATCTGATTGCCGCCTTGCAGAAGCAGGGCCATTGACACTCCTGCGCGGGGTCAGGTCTTAGTTAGCAAGCCACGTGGCCTATCAGCTGTGCGGAGTTGGGCCGCGACAAGAGCAAGAGACGAGCACAATACAGCTATGACAGCGGCGCGGGACCTGATACAGACTTAAGGCCTTCCGTGGACCGGGCTAGATGGCATACTCTAAGACCTGCAATCGTTATTTTCAAAGTGCAAAAGCGCTTCTACAGCACCGCGAGAACTCGAATCGGCATGCTTTCGACTACACCCCGACTAGGACCGCGGCTCTATGGACATCAGGTTTGGACATGCCAACATCATTTGGATTCAGCCTCCAGACTCGGGCAACCTACAATGCAGTCAAGGACGAGCTTTCCAATGTCCTGATAAGCTCTCTACCGAGGTATGATTACTTCGCTATTGTCATTCCTCCCTCTTTTATATTTCTAGAGCAACTGACAAATATAGGCTCTACTCTAGCGGGGAATACTCAGACCTCGTAATATCCTGCAGGGAAAAGGAATACCAAGTGCATAGAGCCATGGTATACATACAGTCCCAGCCTGCGAGGCGGGCTTCAAGGCAAGTGGCAATTCATACGCCTATAACAGCTCTAAGCTAACATTATTCATTTAGGAGGCATAAGAAGGAAGAATTGACCTCCCAGAAGATAATCCTCAGCTTGTCCACATAATTATACATTACTTCTACCGTTTTGACTACGACATACAGGTGGACGGAGACGGAGCCGATATCAAGAGGCTGGACGCGGGCGCCCTCGCCACTCATACAAGGATTTACGCCTTAGCAGAGAAGTACCTTATCCGTGGATTGAAGACTGTCGCGGTTCGGAAATTCAAGGCGGAGGTTACTGTTCCCTTTTGTTCCTTGGATATCTACGATTTATTCACGCAATGGAGATAGCGTATACATCTGCTATTGAAGATGACAGGGGCCTGAGAGACGTCGTCGTGGAAACTCTCTATAACCATCCCCACTGGCTAGACAAAGAAGAGGTGCGAGATGTGATGAAGGAATTAGGCCCTTTGATGTATGATTTCATTATCTACGTGCGCCAAAAGGGCAGGATCTAAGCCACGTACTGGTGGTCGAGAAGGAACGTGCCGTTTAGCCGTATATATAGCGTAGACAATGATAAAGGCCAACAGCGAAGATTCAGTGCAACCTCTGATTCCCACGAGGAGATGAGTGCCCGAAACTGTAGTGGTTTGGCTCGGAGTTGGGGTCGATGCCGGCCTGGCTATTGTGTTTACCGAGCGAGGGTATGCACCTGGCGGGATATACGAGGGTGAGGAGCTTCAAATTTCGCGGCGTAGCTCATCAAGGATTGACTAGCATTTTATAGAAGCGTAAACTATGAATACCACATCCTGTCAGGGCTTGCACTCTCGGACCCCACTCCGCCGCCAGGGCCCCGCCACCGGCACGCCCTGTCGGTGTCGAGTAGTGTGTCGCGCCAGAGCTGACAATGCTGGAGTCTGCGTAGTCGGCGGTCGACCAGTCCTCCTGATCTCCATCGCGCGGCCGGTATCCAGGGTGATCTGGATGGTATTCGTGGGACTGAAGCCGACGAACGCTCCTTGAGCTGCTCGGGTAGTAATCCACGCCACAGTAACATGGGACATAGCAGATCCTCCGCCCTTCCGAGTCACCAAGTACCGGTATCTCAGTGCCAGACGCTTGGCTAATACAGAAAAGGCTGAGGACAAGATTCCACCGCACACTAAAGATCCGCCTCCTGGTTCTGCTAGTGGTGATGGAGGTGACAATGGCACTGACATCTTGACGAGGGATTACTTGGACCTAGTAGATTGAGGAGGGAATGACGATTATTGGAGACATCGGTAACACCGGTCCTCACATTGTGAAATACGCAGAGTACAATAGTGGCCTGCAAGCCTAGAATGGCTCGGTCATTTCATTGACCATTCGCCAGCAAGCACATTCTCGTCAATTTGCTGCTGGAACCCCCTGGGCGCTGAGAACACAGTGCAGCAGGTATAAGAAGCACCTTTCTTCCCCTCCCCCCAAGTATCCCGTTATCACCACCGCCAACTGTAAGACAAATCATCACGGCGCCAGTGTGACTTCGCCCAACATTACTCTAGTTATTCCTTCAGCAGGATCCATCTCAAGAATTGGGATTCATTAGATGCTGACAACTCCAGTTCCCGACACACTAGTCAAGATGGCACTCATCAGGGAATGTTGTAATTCATTTTGGTTGGGTTTGTTGAATCGCCAATTGGGTCAGTAGTCGCGGTGCAATGATGCTTGGGCAAGCTAGCCTGAAATTTGTATTGAATGTACCACAGTTGATGATATGCCTCTCTCTTGCCCTCAGTTGACGGATGCGACGCCGGCCGGATGTCCCTGCCGAGGCCGGGACCGACTGGCGGCTGAATGCCGGGTCCGAAGAAATCCGGGGGCCCACTCGGATTCTTCACGCGACGTCTGGTTGGCCGGATTTTCCCGCGTCAAATGACCAAAGTTCTGTGCCAGGTATCGGGCACAAGGCAAGGTTGGGCTTTTCCAAGCACCTTAAATCGTTGCAGATCTCCGCGTTTTCATTGTTTCCTGTCTCGAGCTCAACTCTTCTGTTCCCGATGACAACATAACGAAGCCAATATGACGGCGCCAAGACATCGGTTTATTCCTTTCGCGTTTCAAGATGAACTTGCGCAACAGCTCGCGGCCCAGACACTGGTGCTTGGAGGGGGATCGCTTTACATCTACGACTTGCCGCAATCTTATGAGGCTCGCGATCTTAATGAGAAACAAATGGTAAGTCGGCCGAAATATATACAAGCTAATACTTAACGAGTATGGAGACCGAAGAGGTAGAGAATTGAAAGGCAATAATTATTGTTACTATCGGCATCCCTCGCTCTTCTTAGCCAATACTGACGGGATACGTAGCCTCACAGTCTCAACATGTCGACGAAAGAGATGGATCTTGAGGATGGATGCTTCGCGACGACGTTTGAGAGAAAATACTATCACCGAGGAGGGGTGTCCATCGAGGAATTTACAACCCGAAGCAAACCGCACCGGCTACCGAGGTCTCTTATGTACCTCTACTCGGAAAGGAACGCCTTATGAACGAAGCGGAAGCACTACGGTACATCCACCAGAATACCGATATCCCGTATCTACTATCAGGAGTACAGGAGAAATCTGCCTCCTTCATCCGCAATGAATCAAAGCTCGAACCACAGGTAGTATCTCAATGTGACCATCCCTCAGTCATCATCGTCAGGACGGGTCCATCCACAAGCGCACGTCTCGCCTCTTCGCACCTTCGCGCCGTTGCAGCCAAGGGTTGGGCACTTGGCGTACAAGCTCTTCGACAGTTGAATTCCCGCTCCGGAATCTTCGCGGCGAACTCTTCTGCGAGGGGGCCGGAAGCCTCGTGGTCATCATAAGCAAAACGAAAGAGCCCTGCTATGACCTCCGCGGCAGGCGAGTTGTGGATGCTTGTATGATTGAGTAGAGCGCGGATATCCATCTGGAAGTACGGATCCGTAGATACGAAGAGAGATGCAAAGGAATGTCGGGTTGAACAGGACAATAGTAGTAAGAGGAAATAACCAGCGAATGTTGTTGCAAGTACTTTACAATGGGAGCGCCACTCACGCCCATCACAAATATGCCTTTTCTTTCTAGGCGCTCGCCGTTCGGGGCAATCCGCGATCGAGCTGTCAGAAATGGCGAGACGAACGGCAGTGCTGCCCACGGAGTAGACTTGGAGATTGTCTTGCTTGGCTTAGTCGAGAGCTTAGAGCGTGGCGACAGTCCTTGCCGCCTGAGAACTTCCCTTCAGCGGTGCAAACACTGCAAACTTATCGAGCGGGTACGTTATCCAGATCACCACAGTGTTGCCCATTACAGTTGTGGACTGTGCTTGAATCTAGAGCACGAAGCCCGCCGGATGCTATTATTTGCTTTTTAACGGGACCATCTTAACGGTGGCGCCAAAAGAGCTCCTGCGAGTCCGGCCTACAAGGTGCGGACCCCGGATACTGTGGTGGGGTTAGTGGTTACGGTCAGTTTCCGGCGCGTCGAGCAGACGCACCCTGGTGAGGGTTGGTTAGGCCTTCGGGTCGTAGTTAGGATCAGGTGTGTTTTATATGAAAAGAAAGCGTTGTGCGAGACCTTTTATGTTGTCGATGGATGGATGGATGGATGGATTGATTTCGCCCGGAGGCACAGAGCCTAAAGGGCCTTGGCACGCTAACTACATCGGTTCGTTGAAGTTCGGTCATCAACTCGTACAAGCCCTCTACTCTTTCCCCTTCTATCACGACACCCTTCGCCTCTTGACTTAGTTTGTAGCAGATCGACTTGGAGGCTGCGTTCTCCAAGTGTTCAGCATCCTATCTTCAGCAGCTAAAGCGGGATCTGCTGGTTGAGGCTGTATGGCGTCATTAGTCGAGTTCCTCTATTGCGATTGATCTAGTCTTCCTCCTCGCTCAGCGCCAGTCTCCCTGTTGCCATTGCGTATCTGATTGCTGCCCGGACCGCCTTGATGTCTGGTGACCAATGGATTGAATCCGACGGCGCTTTCCTTCCTAGGTAGAATGAGAGACTCCCACGTCTTGCCACTGAGCATCGTAGCATATCTTCTCTTAAAGCTGTATGTTGTCGATGTTGTCGAACCCGTCACGATGTTTTTTCGCGGTCCCTGAGTGTCTGTGCGGCCCCTGCTGAGATACTGTGGTACATGTACACGGTGGGGTGAGAGCCCTGTGCTGTGCATCCAATCAGAGATTCAGGAATCTCACGACGTCTGGACCAGTCGGAACTCTTTAGCAACCACCCTCTTAACTGCCAGGCCGCAGAGCCACGTTCCTGCATCGGGTTAAAGCTTCGCATGGGAAAGCTCTGTACGCTCTGTGCATGTGAAGCTGACAGGTACCAGCACTCCATGATCGTCAGTCCAGGATAGACTGGCTTGTTTGTTAGAGCGCCATGAGGGCTTGCCCCTCTTTTCGAATTGCCCCGCTCTTCATGTGGCCAACGAAATCTGCAGAATTTGACCCACAGTTTCCCGATTTGAACCCCACATCCTCAGACAAGCTTTGCAATCTCCTTCATGTTCCCCTTTCTCGAGCCTTTAAGCAAGTTCCTCGCTCATTAGCAAGATAGTCTCAATGATTTAAAAGACTGGGTTTGAAGGGTAAGAAGGCTCTTATACAGTCCCTTTGGGCTATTTCCTTCTTTGCCCTACTCCAAGTATCGAGTTAAGGAACAAGCCACGGGCGGATTGCAAGATGCCACCAAGCACCGCGGGTTTCACCTTGTTTGCTAGTTGTTACTAGTGTATGTTAATGTTCAGTCGGAAACCCGCTCCGACACTGTTTTTTTGAGACTTGCGTTGCGACTTTTTCTGGGCCTGTTATCCGAGACACTAACTACATAAGGTAGGGACGTGCAGGCTCGGCAGGCTACCTTCACTTCTGGGGCGTCTTTGCACACCGGTCTCGAATTCTTGGCGTCATTCGCTGATGAGAAGGAAATCACCTCGGAAAGCAAACAAGCTAAGGTTAAAAGATCCGCGGCGGCGGAGAGCGCTTGGACGGCCGAGGACGCCGAGTCGCTAGCAGTAAGTTAGCACGCCAGGGCTTACGAAATCGCTAGGCTTGGAACGGGGCGCATGAATCGCAAAGCTTGACTTGACTGGCAAGTGATCAGCCCTCTTTAAGCATGCTATTTTTCACTAATACTTGCGCGCTCCCAGGGTTCTGCCCGGCAGGTGAGACGCCATGCTGATCCTTTGCTTGACCGAGTAACCATGGCGGCGGCCAGCCTGCGACTATGATGACTCGGAATCATGAATGAAATCGCGGGGAAAGAGCCAGACTTCCGATCCCCCTCTGGAGAGGAGAGCGTCCGGAGGCGTCTTCTTCTTCTTAAGCTCCGAATCTGCCGTCTCCCACTGCCGAACAACCCGTCTTCGGATGCGAACGCCGTTCCCAGTAGTTGCGACTTACTACCACTTACATGATACGGCCTTGAAAGCCTTGACGTTAGCAGACCGGCAGCAGCGCATCTCCCGCCATGGCGCCAAGGGATGCTAGGATCTCCCGGGACAGTGTTGCGACGGGGCCGACGCTCACGATCCTCCTCGTCTTCATCAGCGTGGCGCTCTACAACGTCGCCGAACTCAACTTCATCATCCTGGCTACCTTCAAGCGGCGCAACGGACTCTACTTCTGGAGCTTCATCGTCGCAACATGGGGCATCGTGCCCTATTCGATCGGCTTCCTGCTCAAGTCGCTGCAGGTGGAGGTGCACAGCTGGGTGTACGTGACCATGATCGTGGTCGGGTGGTGCTGCATGGTGACGGGCCAGTCAGTCGTGTTGTACTCGCGGCTGCACATCGTGCTGCACAACGCCTTCCAGCTGCGGCTCGTGCTGGGCATGATCATCACCAATGCCATCATCTGCCACATCCCCACCACCGTCATGGTGTACGGCGCCAACTCGGCCCACCCGGAGCCCTTCATCACGCCCTACTCGATCTGCGAGAAGATTCAGGTGACGATCTTCTTCCTGCAGGAGAGCATCATCTCAATACTGTACATCAAAGAGACGGTCGAGCTCATGCGGGTACGGAAACGCGGCGCGATAACGGGTGGCAGGGGGTTCAGCAACGCCACGCGGTGGCTGATGACACACCTGATCATCGTGAACATCATTGTCGTCATGCTCGACATCACCATCAGCGGCCTCGAGTACGCCAACCAGTACTACCTGCAGACGAGCTACAAGGCACTGGTCTACAGCATCAAGCTCAAGCTGGAGTTCAGCATCCTGAACCGCCTGGTCGAGGTGGCCCAGGGCGGATCGTCCGCCCACGACAGCTCGAACATCCGGACGTGGACCGACGCCGCCGGCATCCAGATGGACGCCTTTGACAGGGAAAGACGGAAGCCCTCGGCGGCGGGTCCCGGCTTGGGGCACAACGTGTACGTGCGGTCCGAGTCCGGCGCCGGGGCATACGACAGAAAGCACCCGGATGCGGCGGTGGTCATGACAACCGAGGTCACCATCCACCGGGGTCGGTCGCGATCGGGCTCCGGGCCCGAAGGGGATCTGGAAAGCATCGGCGACCGGTCTGGCATGACCGTCGACATGTCAGATGGAGACTTCATCGGGCAATCCAGGGCGGCATCCCACTCGTCCGAGCGGCGCATTGTTGAGACAAGGGGCTAAGAAAGGCGCGCATCTGTGACAGACTGCTCGTCGTTAGTAAATCATTTTCTGGGTAACTGTGAGAGACGAGCAATATGTGGGCGAGGCACAAGGTCGCTGCAAATATTACTCAATTCTGCTAATCGAAAGCTGAGGAAAGGAAGGAGAAGATACAACGTGCGCGCCTGCGCCGGAAGAAAGGCAAGTGGGTGCACGGGCCACCCACGGGCTGGCCAACCCAATAGGGGTCCTTGCCCTATTAGTCCTAGTATGGTAGGTCGGGTTGAACCCTAACCCTGCGTACCTTTCCTCACAGAAAAGAATGACAGGCCACACCGGTCTGATCGAGACCGTGACGCCTGTGTTGCCCGTCTTTAGAAGCGTTGGGCAGCGAAGCCCCCTGAACAGCCGTACGAGGATGACGGCAGTAGCACCGTTGCCGACGAAAGTGCTAGCTCGCAGGAAAACTGAGTGCCCTGGGGAAAGTTGACTCCCTCCTAGGGAAGGTGTCAGTAGCGAAGGGCAGGGACTATGTTAGCGAACTCCTCGGGGGAAAGCCCCTGGTTACCAAGTGTACTATAGCCAGCAATGGAGTTTCTCTAACTACCCACGATGCCTTAGCTGATACGGGAGCAGATGGATATCTGTTTGTCAGCACTTCCTTTGCAAAGCAGCTGTGCAAGCTATTGCAGGTTAAATGGTTCAAGGACTTCCGGCCACGTCCTGTCGGTGGATTTGACAACCACGGTGCTACCTAGTGAATCAATTCTACCGTCCGCGGTCATCTTACGGTCCAGGGCCGAACCGTCTACGGCGAGCCGTTCTTAGTTATTGATTCTTGCCACGACATTACGATTGGCCGCAAGTGGTTTGAGCGCCACGACGTCCTTATCGACTGCAAACGTCGACGACTATTGTTTCCGCCTGAGTGGGGACCTGACCCCCGTTGGAAGAAAGGGGCAAATATTCCTCTGGATCAAACGCCAGCGAAGCGTCTGGACCGGGAAGCGGTAGAGGGTATCGGCCGGCGAGGAAGACTGATGGATGAGGAAGACCGCCGCCGCCAAGCAGGTCGGGCCGCAGTCAAGAAACGAATCGCCGAACTAGAGGCCGCGGCGCAAACCCAGCTAGAGCCGAAGGCCGAGATAGCCCCACGGAAGGCTACGATTTTGTCCCGATCGGTCAGATTCGCAGAACCGTTAGTCACACCGCAGGACGAGGGCATCTGCAAGATCGAGCGCGCCTTGCAAGGATGTCCGCCCCCTTCGCAGACTTCAACCCCAGAGCGAAGGCCGAGATCCAAATCAGCGCCAGATACGTCGAAACAGGGCATGGATGCTCAGGGTCCATATACCTTGAAGCGGGACGCTATCGGTTGGTACAAGGCAAGACCTCTCCGCATTGCAGCAATCAGTGCCGCCGCTTTCCGCAAGACTTGCCAACGCAAGAACAGGCGTCACGCGGCAGTTACGGGGATCACCACTCTTCACAAGATTGATAGGATTTTGGAGCTGAAGATGGTCCTGGAGGATGATGACGATCAGCTACGGCGACAAGCCCTGGAACAGGTCCCGAAGTGTTACCACGACTACCTTGATGTGTTCAGCAAGGCGGAATCTGACATGCTCGCCCCATTGCGGCCAACCATGGACCATAAGATTGAGCTGCTCCCCGAGTCAAACCCAGGAGACCTAGGATACACTGGCTTATGGAAGCTCTCCGCCGAAGAACTGGAGGCAGCCCGGCGATACATTACCGAGAACCTGCAGAAGGGGTTCATCGAGCCGAGCAACGCGCCGTGGGCAGATCCAATCCTCTTCGCCCTCAAGGGCGATGGGAGCCTCCGCTTTGTGTCGATTACCGCAAGCTGAACGCGATGACGAAAAAGGACCAGTACCCGCTCCCCCTGATTGACGAAACGTTGGCCCGGATTGCCCAAGCGAAGGTCTTTACGAAGATTGACATTCGTCAGGCCTTCCACCGGATCCGGATCAGTCCCGAGTCCGAGGACTTGACGACCTTCCGGACCCGGTATGGCGCATACAAGTACAAAGTGGTGCCGTTCGGTTTGACCAACGGTCCAGCGACGTTCCAGCGGTTCATTTACAACACGTTGATGGGCTACCTCGACGACTTTTGTAGCGCATACCTCGACGATATCCTGATCTTCTCGGTCACAGAAGAGGAGCATGAGATTCATGTCCGCCGTGTGCTTGAACGTCTCCGCGAGGCTGGCCTCCATGCCGACCTCAAGAGGTGCGAATTCCACGTTACAGAGACCCGATTCCTAGGCTTCATCGTTGGGGCCGACGGCATTCGACCGGATCCGAAGAAGCTGGATGTGGTCCGCCACTGGGAGAGGCCAACTACGGTCTAGGAAGTGCAGTCATTCCTCGGATTTTGCAACTTCTATCAGCGCTTCGTCCGCGAGTATGGGCGTATCGCCCGCCCCCTAACCAACTTGACTAGAAAGGATTCCCCGTTTATTTGGACTGATGATTGCCAACGCGCGTTCGAGGAACTGAAGGAACGCCTCCTTGATGGGCCAGTCCTAGCCCATTTCCAGTATGGCCGGCCAACCCGCGTGGAGACCGATGCGTCGCAAGGTGTGGTTGCGGGGGTCCTATCCCAGATGCAGGACGACGGTCTGTGGCACCCAGTTGCCTATTTCTCCGAGACGATGCAAGGCGCCGAACTCAATTACCATATACACGATAAGGAGCTGCTGGCCGTGGTCCGAGCCTTGCAGTGTTGGCGGGCCGAGTTGATTGGTCTGCAGAACGAAGAGCCTTTCTGGTTGTCTCCGACCACGAGGCATTCAAATACTTCAGCACGAAGAGGTTGCTGAACATCCGACAGGCGGGTTCGACCGAACTTCTATCGCAGTACAACTTCCACATCACCTACCGACCGGGCAGCGAGAACGCCGCGGCTGACGCCCTCTCCCGGAAGCTGGAAGATGCTACTACGCAGAAGGCGAAACGGGAAGCATACCGCACGATGCAGATCTTTGCCCCAGTACGTGCTGAGGGCCAAGCTGGACCGGGGACGACGGTCGCGGCGATCATGGCCCTTGACGAAGATGTCGCCCCTCCGCCGGCCTCTGGTTTCCAACTGGTCGACGAGCTTCTAGAAGCTAATCGAACAGCCTCTGAATTGCAAGACTGGCGAGACCACGCGCGCGCAGGTAATTCGGAGTTCACCCTCCTTGGCGACCGACTGCTCCTGCGTGACGGCAGGTTAGTTGTGCCGGGGACTGGGCACCTACGGACCCGGGTTATTCAGGAGGCACACTCGCGACTGGTTACGGCACACCCAGGCCAGAACAAGACTAAGAAGCTGGTTACCACGCGGTATTGGTGGCCAAAGATGCGTAGCGATATCGTGGTCTTCATTGATAACTGTATGCCGTGCCGGTCATCAAAGTACCCGCGCGACAAGACCCCTGGGCTGTTGCAACCGATCCCACCGCCGCAGCGAGCCTGGCAGTGCTTGGTTGTGGACTTCAACGAGCTACCCCCTGATCGCTACTGTTACGACAACGCGCTGGTCATGATTGACCGATTGACGAAGGCGTCGTGGACAGTTCCCTGCAAGAAGAGCGCTACTGCCCGCGATGCAGCAAAGATGTACCACGAGGGCCCGTATCGAGTCTACGGCTTGCCGAAGGAAGTGATGAGTGACCGAGGGCCACATTCCGCGCCGAATTTACTGACGAACTATCCCGGATCCTTGGAATCGAATGGAAGCTGGCTACAGCAGGGCACTCGCAGACCGCTGGGCAAGTCGAGAACCTTAACCAGTACATCAACCAGCGGTTGCGGCCATTTATCAGCCACTTCCAGGACAATTGGTCTCGCGCAATCCCAGCCCTCGACGCCGTTCAGATGGGCCTTCCACATAAGAGCACTGGCTTACAGCCGCACAAAGTCCTGTTTGGTTTCCCAATGCCGATGCCGTTTGACTGGGAGTCCCGGATGCAAGGACTCGACGATTGCGCACCGACGGAACGGATAAACCGGGAGGCCGCCCGAGAGGCGGCTCGTCGGATTCAGGGCTACGTCGACTACGCCCGGCAGATGATCACGAAGGCTCAGAAACAGCAGGCGACGCAGGCAAACCGGCACCGTCGCGAACTGGATTTCGACGTCGGCGACCACGTCGCCATTGTCAAGCAATCTGTCGAGCTGACTAGCCGCCCGAGCGACAAGCTGTCCTTCCCGGTTACCCAGCAACATTACAAGATTCTGGAGAAGACTGCTACGGGGGCCTACCGGCTGGAGGTCCCAGAATCCTGGCGCGGGTCGGCCGAGTTTACAGGCGACCGGCTACGGCGGTATCCAAACAGCCCGTTGCCAGGGCAAGCTGCCGAGAACCCGCCCGGCGAAGACGTGGATGGCCAAGAAGAATGGGAGGTCGAGAAAATCCTGGCTAGCAGGACCCATTACGGCAAGCTACAGTACCAAGCCCAGTGGCGCGGTTGGAACCCAGACTATGAATGGTATCCGGCCAGTGACTTCCGAAATGTGCCGGTGGCTCTGAAACGATTCCATGACGGCTATCCAGAACAGGCAGGACCGCCAATACGACTGGACGAGTGGTTGTTGGCTGCGGCCGAGGACAGGTTCGCGGAACCTCACCCGGATGACGACCGGCCGGCAACTGAGGGCAAGCGTCTACGTCGCTCGCAGAGAAAGAAATAGGGTTGGAGACTGACGATATTCCGGCTAGCAAAGCTCGAGGCGAGCTTTTTTGGAGGGGGGGGGGGGTTGTGAGGAAAGATACGCAGGGTTAGGGTTCAACCCGACCTACCATACTAGGACTAATAGGGCAAGGACCTGTTGGATGTAACGAGCTACCTGGAACTAGCATCTCCAGCCGCCAGGAGAGGTCCGAATGTCTGCATATGCAGCATCGCAGGATTGACTAGCACAGGCATGCGAGACTGAGCCCAACCGGGTCAGGTGCAGGATGAGGGGGTTTGGCACTTCTGGATTTCAGGGTCTCTGGCGCTCCCAGATCTACAGACAGTTCGGAACTACAGAGTTCAACACTACACACACACAAGAACACATCACCGAACGACCCCTTCCAGTGCTCTTGCTCGGAGTAACTACCATCTGAAGCTCGTTGCCCATTGCCAAGAAAGCGGTATCTTGCAACAGGACCCCT